ACACCTGTATTGTGACAAATTCTTTTACCTATATATCTCTCGTTTCCTTCTAGTCTTCAACCTCTTCGCTTTTCCCCTAGAATAACAAAATAAAACTATTTAAACGGATGGGACAGACAAAGAAACAGGTTTGGGTTAGGGGCTGGGTTTTGGAGGACTGTGTGTAGAGTTTGAAGTTTATGGTGGGGCGAGTTCATGGTGCTGTGTTTTTAAGTGTGCAATGATTAGTATCCTAAATGAGTGAAAGAAAAATGGATGTTGTTAATTGAGTCATTCTTTTTGATGCACCGTGGTTGAGATCTCCGGAATTGTTTGGCTCATAATGAACCGATAGATTAGCGGTTATACTCGGTAATCCCGTTTTCGAGGCGTTTTCACTTGGTGTGTAATCCATTTTTGTGTCATTTTTCGTTGGAGGTGTAACGCTTGCAAAAGACTATGTACAACCCTGTATTTTCAGAAGCTTGATCAGCGTAGCGTCGAGTTACGTGGAAAAGCCGCCTGTGGGATTTAGGTGTTTTGTTCCAATCGTGATCGATCTTCTGGAAAACCGGTTTTCGAGAAACTCTAAACTACAACGAAAAGCTCTCTTCATGGGGCGTAATTGTAGTCCATAAATTTCTGATTAAAACGGGGCATCTCCCACCTCTACGCGACTTTTCTTTGCAAAGTTATAGAGTTTACATGAAAAGCCCTAAATTCATTTTTGGTTTTTCTTTCTGTAGCTCTGAGGTGACAATGAACATTTAGGGCTTCTTTTGTAAACTCTATAACTTTGCAAAGAAAGGTCGCGTAGAGGTGGGAGATGCCTCGTTTTAATCAGAAATTTATGGACTACAAGCATTAAGAAAGCTTTTGGTTGTTGTTTAGAGTTTCTCGAATACTGTTTTTGTAGAAGATCGGTCTTTCAATACCTAGCAGCAGCATTCATGGTGATATTCTGAATCAGCATCGTCGACTACCTATAGTCCACTCGGTTTCGTTGAAAAAGCGATTTATCCCTCGTCGTACTTCCCTCGTCAGTTCGAGCCCGAGCTTAGAGTAAAACTAGCTTTAATCGGTCGATTTCCCGTTATTTGACCGGGCACGGTGTGTTCCTTTTGTGAAAATCTTCTATCAATACAATATTTAACTGCATTTCTGAACCGTTGTAGGTAGATACGTTACATGGATGAAAAATTGATAAGTTCTGAGTGATTTTCTCTTTTGGACTCAATAGTTTTATCTAACGTAATTTTTTAAGAGAGTAAACCTTTGACGATCGGTTTTCTACGAGTACTGAGCATGCACATGTAAGTGCCGTCTACTGTTTCTTCTAATATTGCTCAATAATTTAGTTTTGCAACCACCACCAACGAGTTCAACAACCTTTCAAACTTCCACCGTGCTGACGAGTTCAACAACATTCCAAACTTCCACTGTGCTAACGCGTTCAACAACATTCCAAACTTCCACTGTGCTAACGCGTTCAACAACATTCCAAACATCCACTGTGCTAACGCGTTCAACAACATTCCAAACTTCCACTGTGCTAACGCGTTCAACAACCTTCCAAACTTCCACTGTACTCACGAGTTCAACAACATTCCAAACTTCTACCGTGCTGACGAGTTCAACAACATTCCAAACATCCATTGTGCTAACGAGTTCAACAACATTCCAAACTTCCACCGTGCTGATGAGTTCAACAACATTCCAAACATCCATTGTGCTAACGAGTTCAACAACATTCCAAACTTCCACGGTGCTAAAGCGTTCAAC